TGAAAAAAAACTTTCTACTATTCTTTTCATTAGAGATTGTATATCTGCCATTTTGTAAATAAATCTTTTTTTTTAAAATTATTTAATTCTATTTTTTATAATTTTAGAATATAAAGTATCTTGATCTTCAGTTTCTCTTATTACATTTAGAATGTATTTGATCTAAAGTAAAATAAAATTTAATATATCAGTATCAAGATTAAGTGTAATAAGAAGTCAAATATAATAACCTTTTTTAGATCAACTTGGATCTCAAACTTATTCTTTATAAATTCATTTATAAATGTTAGAAAATATCTAAATAAAAAAATTTAATATCAAAAAAATAGTATAAAAATAATCTATTTATTTTAATTTACTTTTCTTATCAATTAAATTAATTTTTATATGTATATTTTTCTCTTTATTTATAACATTTAGAAAAGGTTTATTAATTTTTAACCTTTTATTAGCTTTTGAAAAAGATAAAGATTAAATTTTGTTCTAACTTATATATAAGAACAATATAAACCCTAAAACTTTAAAACTCTAATTCTATGACTATTATAGAAAGCAAGCAGTTTTGTTTATTAAGTATAGTATTATCAACAAGCAAATAATTTTTCTTAATGCAAGTAAGCAATCTGTATGATAATTTGATGAAATACAGATAATAAAATCAAGCAGTTGTTAACAAGCAAGCAACCTTTTTGGATATAAGCAAGCAATTTATATGATAGTTGATAAGATACATATAATGATAGAAAACATAATATACTTGTCAAGAAATCTTGTCTTCACTTTGTCAGCTTCTGTATTACTTCTGATATTTTGATGTAATATTTACTGATGATATTACTGTTTCATCACTTTTCAAATGAAAATTTAGATAATGTTTCAATTATCAGTATTTAGCCTTTGATCTTATATTTTGAGTATTTTCTAGATCTAATATAGAAGTCATAATTAAAGAATCAATACAAAGATAATTCAAATTTCTATGTAAAAAATTATTAACCGATGCGATTTGCATCAATCCACGTTATCCGTGACAGATCAGAAAAAAAGCTACCCCAGTATTACCACCAAGTTTTTTTGGCCGGCATTACGGCATTAGAAATCAACCATGTGATGAATAAAAAGTGACAAATATGATTTCGCATCCCAAGTTTCCAGAATACTTATGAAAATGGAAATGACAAATATTTCTATGATCACGTGGGGGTGAAAAACTTGGTGGTAATACTGGGGAAGCTCTGATCAGAAATAACAATGTGCAAATTAATAAAATATGCGATAATTTAAAATTGTTTAAATTTTAAATTTAGGTAAAATTATTAAATATAAATATAATTCTCTATTTATTTTTGGTTATAATATAAAAAGTTAAGCATTGAAATAGATTTTTTCAGAAAGTCGCATTCTTCTTTCACTTTATAATTAGAAAAACAGCGCTTTATATCTACTCCGTCTACTGGTAACCAAATATAAATAAATGCTATTTTTGAAAAATTTGGTAATATTAAACTTTTTTCTTTCCAATATTTATCTAAATCCAATTCTCCTTCTTTTACTATTTCTTTTAATCTACTGTAAATACTCCATTCATCTAATAAAACATTTGTAGGATTTTGAATTCAATTAAATGGTATATATTTGCGTTGAATTTACTCTTTCTACTCCGTTACCATTATCCAAAAAAAGGCGACGATAATTATTTATGATTTTGATCAGCCAATCATATTTATTGAACATGCATGCATATTTTATATGAGTTTCTATAAAATATGAGACACATAACATATGTGAAAAAATTCTTAAAATATGCGCATATATTTGCGTCACATATTCCTGGACACTTTAGATTCTATATGCTTGCTTGTGTTTTATTCTTCGATAACAATGCCGAAGAAACTCTTGGTCTTGGTACCTTGGAGAAGCCATAACTCTAGTCAATTGGTGAAGTTATGAGTCAGTTGTCGCCAGCCTCAACCAATGTTAGAAAAAAATATATATTGTTAATAGCATATACTTTTCACACTTATCACACCACAAATGGTTAATAAGCGAAACATATTACCCGCTTACTAATTGTTCGCCCGTGATATTTCATATTGATATTTTACCGGATTCACATATCGGAGTTGAATTTTCCGTGAAAATATCAACATGACGCAATTACCGTGATATATCAAACGAAAATCTTACTGCTAAATATTTAATATATATTATTTAATAAGCTTGATATAGAAAAAAGCATTTTTTAAAAAATATTACATTATTACAAGCATTTATTATTATAAATAAAAATTATTTAAAATAAAATGTTAACATTTTGAAAGTGACAATTATTAAACATCGGAGCCTTTTTACTAATCTTGTGATTTAAGAATTGTAATTTGAGAAGATTGTAATGGGTTCTTATTGTAATCTAGAATTTGTTGCACAGGAATAAAAATTTCCTTGTCAATGTCAGTATTTTTAGATGTTTTAGGTTGTAAACATGGATTGTATAAAAGTTCATTAACATTATTAAATTGGTCTTCTTTGATTTCATTTTTTAAGAAATAAAATTAAAAAAAAAAGTATTTTTACGTCACAATAACATGTGACTTACATAATTCATGTGAGTTTCTTATCACGGGCGTTAGTAATCGGGAAATATAATAGTTATTTACCGCTCAAATTGCCGACATCATCAGGGTCACGGCTGCGCCGCCTGATGATATCTCTGCTTTCGCGGTAAATAACTAATACATAATATATATGTTTTAAAATCTTTTTGTCAATGATGAAATTGGACCACTCCAATTTGAACATTTGGAATAAGTTCACATTTTTCAGTATCTTTTTAGATAATGATGTTACTGTTGCGAAAATTCCTAATTTGCCTTATCCTGCTACTGACAAAAATGCTAGATATATGACAAATATGACGTTATTAAAGAAATTATTTGTCTAAATTTATAATTATTAATTTTAATAAAAAAAATTCGGCAATTTGGATAAAGTCCATTAGTCCAAAAGACAATCATTGCTTTTTATAATAAGGGCAAATTAGTTAGTATAAAAAGAAGAAATTAACCTTGCAACTTGCTAAGGATTTTCGACTTTCGCATGGTTACTAGGAAATCTACAGTATTTTGACAAATTAAATCTTATTATCATATGTTTAATTTAATATCGTTACGATTTGGGATTGGTCGAATAATTAATTAAGTTTGAAGATCCCCCTTAATAGTAATTTATATATAAATGTATCGTATTATTTAAAAGAATTTAAATTTTTTTTTTTTTGGAATTTTCACAAATGAATTTAACTATAGTTAATTTTCGTGACGTTGGAGGATCTCTAGCAGAATCCAATCAGGATAATAAAAGGTACATCAGAAAAAAAAAATTTTTTTTTTTTTTTTGAATATTGGTTTGGTAAGAATTGTTATGAAAAACGGGTTAATTTATTTCGTATTATAGTGTAATTAAAAAGGGCGTATTGTTTCGAAGTGGTGAACCGGGTAAGCAATCTTATCATATATGCATCAAACGTGCGATATCGTAATTAATTTTTATCGGTGAAACCTTTATATAGATGATGCATCTGACAAAGATATTGAGCAGTTTTTGAAACTCGATATTCAAACAATAATTGATTTACGATCTAGGTTGGTTTCAAATTTTTTTTTATTGCGTCATCACGTGATCTAGCATTGAACTCGATTCTTATTTTGATTTGAATTAGTTCCTACGAGAAATTGAAACCTGAAATTTTGGAAATTAAATATCCTCGTTCCTCTTATCCGTTCAATGTAAATAAAAAATTTTTTATTTTCGATATCATGCTTCATAACTTGAAACTAATCATCATCTTCATCATTTATTAGGATGATGAAAGACATCGTAAGACTGTTAACATTAGTTTTGCAGGGAGAAACCTTTATAAGTATTTAATTGCGGCAGCCCCATGGTCGATTAAATTGTAATAACTTTTACTTAAGTCATTAATGTTTCTTTAAAGATATATCTTTTATATTAACTATACATTATTTTGTTTAGAAAAATCATTGGATACTTTTTAATTTGTAGAAAATTAAATGCTGCGAGATCCATGGCACAATATATGGCCCCAAGGGGATTAGTGGGGATGTATAGAGATTTTGTTGAATGCTGCCATGATCAAATTTGTCAGGTATAAAAATTCATTTTTTTAAAAAAAAAATTATGTAATTAAAATATTTTTCAACATTTTTTTTTTTTCATAAAAAAAAAAAGATCCTTGATATCATGTCGGATAAAAGAAATTTACCACTGTTGATACATTGTAGGCATGGAAAAGATCGTACGGGTGTTTCAATTGGTAACTAACAAAAATGATATTTTTTTAAGAAAAATTTATATTTTATATCTAAAATTTTATTTATTCCATTAATTTAGCAATTGCACTTGCATTATGTGGAGTGGACGATGAAACCATCGTAAAAGAATATTCATTATCACAAAAAGGCATAAAATCATTATATTCGGAAATTGTTAAAGATTTTGAAAGAGTTGGTTTACCTGAAGAATTTGCTGAAGTATCTCCTGCTGTATGTAAATTAATAACCTTTTTTTTTTTTTCCTTCAATTAAATTAAAATTTTATAATCAATTTTTTTTTTTTTATCCTTCAGGCTATGAGAAATTTATTAAAACATATTAAAAGAAAATATGGAAATATATCAAGTTATTTAACGACAATTGGATTTCCTGTTGAAAAACAAAATCTTGTAAAACGAAATTTAATGGTTAAATCCGAATAATTTTATAATTGTAGAATGAAACATATCCCTAATTATTGGTAGTAATAATTAATAATATATAAATAATATCTAATTTATTAAATTATAATTTACAATTTTACAATTTTGAGTTAATGGGAATAGTATGCGGCGAATGTTTCGGGAAATATACCTACTACCCAAATCACTATTGGCGGATGATGGGGAATTTGAGAAAGTTATTATCTCATGAGACTCCTATTATAATTCAAATGCCAATAATGGATTGTATAATATTGTGAAAACTAATTTCCAATTGTGTGCCAAGGGATGTTGTGCCAAAGAAATTGACATAATCATTGGCTTCAAATGTTGCTAGTTTGAATAAAAAAAAACGGGGTTAATCAAACAAACAATTTCTTCCATGTATGAATGCAACCCTTGGTGAACCGGTCGAGCAGATTAGTTAGTTTTCCTCTACAATACATAATTTCTCTACTATAAGTCCATCTTCCTTTGATGGTAATTTTGATGACACCCAATCGATGTCTGTTAATTGTGATATATCATCACCTTTATATTTAGGAATATACTATAAAATAGCAACCCTTCGTTAAAATATAACTTTCATTAGGGAGATATTTTAAAAAAAGTTCATTACTAACTGCTTTGATTTTGTTATAAAGTTCTTCTCTCGAAGAATATTCTCTTTGTAAATATCCCGTTTCAAATTCATGATAAACTCTTGTATCATTCATCCTAAATAATACTTCATCGACCCTAAGAAAGAATCGTTGAAGTATAAAAAATCCCGATGGCATCACACGCTATATAATTTAAACAAAAAAGATTTAAATCGTGAAAACAGTAAAGATTGAAGTACCTTTTCATATTTGAAACTTACAATTTTTACATTTAGCATTGCTGTCCCATTATCAGCTAATTCATCTTCAAATAAAATCATTTCATCATAAAATAAAATATCTTCTACTTTTTTCAGTTTTTCTATATCAATTCTATCTGTCGATTTTTCAAATACCTAGAAGGTCCCATCATGTGATGATAATAAAATCAATAACCATCCTTGAGGTTTGGCAAAGTTATTTTCAACTCACATGTTTGTTGACGGTTCCTTTTAATGTCCCAGAGTATGAAGTAGTATATGTCCAATCATATGGTTTAATCACATCTTTAATGTGTTCATGATTCTTTGCGCTTTTATTATAAAAAAAAAAATAAAAAAAGTAAAAAATAAAATTTATTTTTATCAATTCAAATAATCATTTTTACCTTTTCCTTTTCCATTCTTCGGAATAGGAAACTTTTACTTTTTCACCACCTTCTGCTGTAGTATCAACCATCTTTAATGCATCCAAAGGTGAGAATTCGAGTAAAATACCGTGTTCATTGATTATTTGTAATGAATTATTTCCAAAAAACATTTCAGGTAATGGAATTGTTATTTCCTTTTGTACTCTAAATATTTTAATTGTAGAAATAAATAATTAACTAATTATCAAAATAAAAATAATTTTTCAAATGGTATATATAAACATTTACTCTTCAATTTCCTGAGAATTAAGAATTGGTAATTTAGTTGTTGTAATTGTCCACCCATGAATTTTAATTCCTTGTTGTGAACCTTCTTGAAATTTTTCGTGTTTTGGTAGAGACATCATCAAGAAATGAGATCTGCCAATCATTCATACGAGTACTCATTCAGGGACGCGGAAAAATTTGGCAAATCTGCCGGCTGTTTACCCTTAAAACGAATTATGCATTAAAAAATTAATTAAGATATTTTCAAATACCTTGATTATTTCTAAACAATTTATTAGAAGAATTAGCTAATTCTTTAATAAAACTACTACCGTGTGCAAATTAAATTTCCTCTTAAAAAAGAGGAAATTTAATTTGCACACGGTAGTATATGGGACCTTAGGCCAAAATGTTTAGATTTAGCATTAACTCATTTTATATTTGTCCTGGTAGTTTTTCCTTTTTCTATTGCAAAAATCCTATATTAAAATAATTAAATATTTTATAAAATAAAATATTATTTAGAATTAAAAATCTGAAAAAAGAAATTATGAAAATGTAAAGAAGTATGCAAATTAAATTTATTTTAATTTTTATAATTTATATATTTATAATCTTGTAATTTAATTTAAGTTTATCTTAATAAAAATTAAATTAATATTTTTTTTTTATAATCAAAATTTTGATAATGATTTAATATTAAAGTTAAATTTAGAAAATAATAATATAATTATCAAAAGAAAAATTTTTTAAATATATTATTATTATAAAATAACAAATATATTAAAAGATGTTATATAAATGAAAAAGTATTATTAAAATAAATAATATATTGAAAAGTTAAATATTTATAATTACTATTTTAATTATAATCAAAAATCTTTATAAATTAGATTTTAACAATTAAAAGATATAAGTCAAAGTATATTTCATTAATAAAAATTATTATTATTTTATATAGGATTTAAAATATAAAAAGCATTATAAAAAGTATTTAAAAAATATTTAAGTAATTTATAATAATTGATATAATTGTAATATATTAAAATTATATAATTCTATTTGTATATATATTTTTAAAATTAAATATTCTTAATATATATATTATAATTATTAAAAATGTAAAAGAAATTATTTTATATTAATTAAAAAAAATGTTAAAAATATTATTATTAAAAATAATAAAAAAATAATTTAAGTATTATAATAAACTATTTTGATTGTAATCTCTTATATAATAAAAATAAATTAATCTATTTATTTTAAGTAGAATTAGAAAAGTACAGATATTAGAAAATTGATCAAAAAAATAAAAGTTATAAAAAATATTTTAAAAAAATATAAATAATTTGTAAAATTTAAAGATCTTAAATTTTATAAATTATGAATTAGGTTATGAGATTATATTTAAATTATTTTTAATTATTTCATTATAATATGATATAAAATTATAATTATAATTTATTTTAAATTATTTAAATTAACATAATATAATTATATTATTATTTAAATAAAATTTATTAAAATATTAATTATTTATTTTTAAATGATAATAATTATATTTAATAATAATTTTACTTAAGAAATAGTAAATTATAATATTATTAATTTTATTATAATATCAATAAATTAAATACTATTAGAATAAAAATTTAATAAAAAATTTTATTTAATAGTTAAATCTTTTTAAATATTTTAATTATATTAAGTTTTAAATTTTAAATTTTTAGTAATATTTTTATTTTAGTTTTATTATAATGTAATTTATATATAAAAAAAATACTTAAAATATAAATAAATATTAGTTTAAATATATTAATAATAATTTAAATAATGTTTAAGAATTTGAAAAAAAAAATTGTTTGCTTTGCTAAAAATTTTTTTTTTTTGAAAAATTTTTTTTATTTAAAAATTATTTTTTTTATATATATATTTTATATTATAATAATTTTAATATTAATAAATTAAATTATATATCTTATTTATTTAATAAATATATAAATTTTAAAATTATTTAATTAAATTATAATTATATTATTAATATACTATATGATGCATTTTTTTTTATAAAAGATTATTATAATATTAAATTTATTTTTAAGTTTTAATAATTTTGTAATTTTATAATAATTAAATATTTATTAATATTAATTATTTAATAAATTAATAAAAAATTTCTTTTTTATTTTAAAATATAAAATCAATATATAATAAAATTATAAAATCATTAATATGTTAAGAATATATATTTATAATATTTTAATTACAAGTTTTTTTATTGATTATAAATTATTTTATATGATTTTATTAAATAAAAAGGGTAATAAAATATAAAAACTTAGAGACATATCAGAAATCAGTTGATATTTCTCAATTAGTATGCTTTACTTTTTATTTCACCTATTTTCTTTCTTCCTTTAAGTATGAAATCCAATTATCAAATTTTTGAATTGGATTATTTTTTACTGGATGGGCCTATTTTAAATTAGTTTAGGGTAGATTCGTCTGAAATGATGCAAGTTATTTTCTTAAGTAGATAAAAATTTTTGTATTCTTTGATTTGTAATTGAAAAAAATTATTTCTAATTCTTTATTAATTTAATAGAAAGTGGGAAAACTGCAGGGTAAATAAATTTACTTTCATGGCAAAACTCTCTTTATTTCACGGTTTTTAAAATAAGTTGTCTATCCACTGATGAACTTTAACAAAATTTTATCAGGAAATCACTTTCCAATAAAAAATAGACATGACTTATAAAGAAGTAAACAAACAAATAAAAATCACTTATTTAACGTTACACGAAGAATCGGGATTAAAACCTTGAATATACTCCAATTTGTCATAATAAAATCTGTAAATATCAAAGAAATCTAAATCTAAAATTCTATTCTTTGAATACTAATAAAAGATTTAAAATAAAGAAATCTAATCTATTATAAAATGAGATATCGTCTATTCTCGTTATGCATGGTTCATTATGGAAAGAATTTCGAGAATTTACCTTTAAGCTGGTAGGAATTACGTAGGTTTACGTAATACCACGAATGGATAAAATAATAATAATAATAATAAAAAAAAAATGCCAAGAAAAAATAAATAGTAATACTCAATGACGCCTTTTTGAGGTTTTTCTTTTTCCGGAACTTTCAAATTAAGAACCACGTTAAAGTTAGTACAAACAAATGCACTTATCCTTACCTCATATTTTCTAAAAATAATCAGTGATTTTTTGACATCCGCACCTCGACAATGTGTGTAGCCTTTCTTGCAATAATTTGATATAAATATAGATTCATTCTACATGTAAAATTTTCTTAGACATTTAAATTGTATATATAAGAATTGTATTTCGACCTTAACTGATTAAAATAAATTTTTTTCATCGGAAAAGTGATGAATATAATTATTTTAAACTGATCTACTGCTTCTGATGTAACAGGGGTATGATAAAAAAAATAAATAAATAAATAAAAAATACGGCTAAGAATTAAATCATTTAAATCATTCTCAAACGTTTCTTCACCCATTTGTTCACAATTCATTAATTAAAAAATCGCCAAAATACATGCAACCCAATATCCGTTTAATAAACAAGTGTGACAAGTTGTCTACTAATTTGTTTTAGTTTCTTTTTTTTACTATAAATGGTATGGATTTTTTTTTTTTTTATTAAAACCCTGGAAAGATGAATATTTGAGATTGGTCACCTTCAAGACTATGATTCTGTGACACCCGACACAACTTGAAAGCGAAAAAAACTCATTTTTCAAAAGCGATATCTTATGTACCTTATACCAAGAGGTTTTTCTGGGTTAATCACTTTCTTTTTAATTAAATATAATTATAGCCTTCGAATATTTCGTTCCCTCAAAAAAGATCTCTCTCAATCCTGAAAGTAATAAAAATAACGAATATATCAGAATAACTCATCTATAAATAACCCAGACGTTCACCTTTTCCCATCTACTTCGAACCTTTTTCCTTCTTTTAATAAAAAATAAATTTGTATCATTTTTTTTTTTTTTTTTATTATCATTAGGTGTATTTCACAACGGCTTGTCACAAGTTGACCTTGTAAAAAAAATATTATCATAATTAAAAATTACTTATATATAAACATTTATTTTTATCCCTACTGTATTAGCTATAATGCTTAAAATAAGGACAGAGGGAACTACCAAATCTATTTGGAAAGCCTTAAAGTTTCTTTTTCTAGTTTATATCGCATTCTCGGTTTTATATACAATGAACTACTGTTATGTTGTATATTCAAATAATTACGTATCAAATAATAATATAAAACCTCGAAATAATCTCGGGTTAGATTTTCAAACATCTGAATGGGGCGTTGATAGATTATCGTGGAAATCAAAAAGTGGTAAATTTGAATTCTTTTTTTTTTAAAGAGTAATTTAACGTCAAAATCTGGGATTCTTTAATTTGGAAATTTGATCAACAATTAATTCATTATTCTTCTCTTTAATAGGTGCATATGATTATATGACGGAAGAATTTTTCTTATCCAAAGTATTTTCTGAATCAATGCAACCTTCACACGTAATTCCATATTATTTCCGAGCGGAACAACCCCCAAATGAAGAAGACATAACGATCACAACGCTTATAACAGAAAATCGGTTCCATGTATTTGACAGACTCGTTACAAATTATCAGGGTAAGTAATTAAATGACCTTTATTTTCCTCTTTTTTTTTTTGTGATTCAATCTATTACGAGGACAAAGTATTGAGCGTTTCCTTACTTTCTTTCATAGGACCAATCTCCGTAACGATACATGTTGCTGATGATGATAAATCTCGCGATGTACTATTAAGCAAACTTCATGAATTGTATAATGGAAATAAATATATGAAACAATATGTTGATGTTCATCTCGTGGTTGATAATTTTGAACGTCAATTCAACATGTGGCGAAATGTCGCAAAATTTTTTGCTCGTACTAATTATGTCATGATGTTGGACGTGGACTTTCACCCTTGTACAGATTTTAGACATTCCATTTTAAATAGTAAAACAATAATGAATAAACTTAGAAATGGTAATACCGCTTTGGTAGTACCAGCTTTTGAATATGCAGATTTAGACGAAGGCCTTGATTATCGTACCTTCCCAACAAAAAAAGATGATGCCGTCGGATTAGTTAAATCTGGTCGTCTAGTTATGTTTCATGACTCTTGGAAACCAGGTCACGGTCCATCAAATTATTCTAATTGGTATGAAACTGACGAGCTATACAAAGTTACAACTTATCAATATCAGTATGAACCATATGTAATCTTCCCAAAACAAAGCATATGGTATGAAATGTTTTAATTTTGATTTTGATTCTTTTTTTCTAGTTTATTTATATAATAAATGATTTCTTTTTTTTTTTTTCACTATATTTAGGTGCGACGAACGATTTGTTGGATATGGTGCAAACAAGGCCGCATGTTTATTTGAATTATACCTTTCAGGAGTAGATTATTGGGTCCTTCCAAAAGATTTTTTAATTCATCAGACACACGAATATTTGGAAGACGCACGTAGACATGAGGTAAATATGATTGTATACACATATATTATTTCTATAATAATAATAATAATTATAAATAATAACTTTACAATATCTTATCCCATCAACCTTACAGCGAAGATTCAATAAAAAGTTATACGAACATTTCCGTGAAGAATTATGTTTTCGATATGCGAGGAATTTTATTTTAAATGGTGAATGGGAAACATTTAAAGCAAGTAATTTAAGATCTACATGTCATAAAATTCGAGGGTTTACACAGGCTATTAAATATTTTGCAAAATTGAAATAATATAAAAAAAAAAGGAAGAATGCTATTTTTATCACATAATATTTTTTTTTGATCATCTAATGTTTGGTTTGATTTTTCTTTTATCTGTAAATTATGTTTTATCAAGCTGGTTTGAACTTTTCTTTTTTAAAAAAAAAAAATTTATTCATTTTTTAGTTTAGTTCTAGATATTTATTTATTTAATCATTAAATGACAGAAAGAAAAAAAGAAAAAAAAATAAACTTTTACGGAACCCCGTAGAATGAATTTTTTATAGGGTTTGTGTTTTTTTTTTTTTTTTCTTTTTATTTTCTTTGGCATATTTATACAATTTAGAAATTACATATTAAGTTTCCGTGTTTATTCTGTTATAGAAATAACTTTCCCTCATTTTTTTAATTTACATCTGAACAATTAATTAATACCACTCCAGTAATAAAAATTTTGAATTGGAGTCACTCGATTACAGATTATTATCACCCTTTATTGTAATTATTATATTTGTTAAAAATTGATTAATAAATATTTGAATTGTCCAATGGAAATATTGATAAATAAATCAATGATACATGTTACCATTTTATTATGATTATTATTATTTGATATAATAAAATATTTAAGAATATGTTTTGGAAAAAATCTTTTCCTTATTAATCTAAAAAAAAAAATAAAAGTTTTTTACCTATTTCCTTTTGATTTATTTTTTTCTTTCGTTTGCTTTCTTTATTAGAATAGTCTATAGGTAAATCAAAAAAAAGGTCAAATACATTCTATTAAATTTTGAATTGTCCTCTGTATTTTTCGAAAAAAATTCGTGATGAAAGTGCGTATAATAAACAAATTAATAATAATTTACAGTATTACGTTCCTCAAATTTTTTATAACAGATGGCCGATTCACCAAGTTCGTCCTACATCAAATCATCATTACAAACCATTTTACACATTTCACAAAGTTTCCTTCTCCGAAATCTTCCCACATTCAATAATTATAAACGTTTAATCATTGTTCTGGCCTTTTTGTTTTTGATTTATTGATTTATTTTAATAATCATATTTGTTAAAACGGGCCAATGACTGATTTTGTGTGACAAAAAAGAAAATTTTTCTTTAATTTTTTCCCCTACACGGAAAAATGGTGTGTGAACAAGGAAAAACAAAAATTAAAAAAACTTGCACTTATTCCATTGGCTCAATAAAGAAGTGCATGACAAATCTTCATTGTATCATTCATCTTATTACCATTTTTTTTAATTACTCCAAGAAAATTCTTACCCCTTTATTTTTTTACACCTAAACCTTTAAAAAATTTTACCTTTCATACTTTTCATTTAAAGTAATCAATTTGATTCATCATTCTTGTTTTCTCACCTGAATGATAAAGGAGAAAATGGAAATGTCAAAAGATCCCAAAAAAAAAAAAAAAAAATTATATAATCGAGGGATTGCGCCTTTTTTCTTAGTCAAATAAAGTAAAGACTTTGAGAATTTTTTTTTTTATAATAAGCTCACCCCTTTTATAATTAATCATCAGTTCATTGACAAAAAGACGTTTTGGTGAGGAAATGAGAAGCAAAGAACTTTATAATTTACTCCGAGTTAAAAAAAAAAAGTAATTTAGAAAGGTTAAGATGGTTTAGAATCAAAAACAAGTAATAAAATTTGTGTTCCGAGAAGTGGCCCGTGTGTCTTCCACCGTCTTTAAACATATTTCTAAAAAAAGAATCCTATTTTAATTGTACATACATTTTGGTAGTCAGAACTCCGAAATTTTTTTTTTTTCAATGGAAACTCGCGTTAAAGTATTTTCTTTTTTTGGGAAATCATTGATGAATTTCCCAACGTTCCATTTTGATTTTCCATTTATTCGACGTGGCTTGTGTGGCACGCACCTTAATTTAGGTTAAATTCCGATAAACGCTTTTACGCCCGAACATGTAGTAATCGAAGGTGGCTGGTCTATTCGTCATTCAAATGGATCTTTCTTGCATGGATTAATGGATTTACGTTGATTGAAGATCTTTAATGGGTACTTGTGGAAATTCTCTGATGCAGCCACACGCATCCGATCCGCAGCGTGGCGCAACCAAGAAATTGTTGTCGAACAAGAGCTGCGCGGTAATTTAAACATTAGCCCAAAAGTAGATATGATTTTTATTTATTATAATTTCCTTTTTAAAGTAACCAAGAATCTTTACAAAAAATTATTCACGCTCATGTTGGAGAAACAAACGTAACAGAATCGATTGTCTCAGAGGACGTACTGTTACATTCATATTCTTCTGCCAAGAAAATAATAATAATAATAATCATTAAAAAAATTTTTTATTTCTTTTGCTTATTCGATTGATTTGCACCCGCTTCTTTTTCTAATTACCTCATTTTTTTTTTATTTCCTCCTTTGGTCTTTAACTGCTCATGATAATTGGTACGATTATAAATATAGTCGAAAAAGAAAAGAAAATTGTATTTTTTTTGTTTGTTGTTTACTATATTGTGTTCCAGAATGTGTAAGAAGATGTATTAAAAAAAATTTGCCATGTGGAATTCTTAAATTGTTGTCATACAAATGTTATTAGGTGAGTGTGTGCCTTATGGATCATCTAATGCGAAAATACATATGCTGCACATTAACATAATTTATTTGAGATAACGGATAAACACCCTATAACAAAAAATAAAACGGTCCAAGAATAGTCAAATGAGAAATCAACCAAAGGCATGATACGTAATGAAATGAAATATGTATGTCATATAAATTTTTGTTTCAGCGATCATTTTAAAATAAATTAAAAATTTAAAAAAAAATAAAATGATAGAATGAAAAAAGTTCAAAGCCAAGTATGCGCATAATTTATTTTAAAACATTTTTTTACACAACGCGTTTTTTTTTTTTTTTTTGTATTTTTTTTTTTATTTTTACGAATCAAAGAAATCATTTCAACAAACGCCATACGGTGGTATTTTCTACCCCAATCCGAAATGTTTATTATGTCACAAATAAAGTTACCATAATAAAGACCATGAAAGATTTGAACGATAATAAACATTTTGTGTCATCAAAAAAGTTTAATGATAATGAAAGAAAAAAAAAAAAAAAAAAGGCCAAACCGGAATTTGTAACAAAATAATTATTAAAAATTCTTATTTTGTTGATGAACCAAACTGCGTACAATTAAATTTTTAACATTTTTACTATTATGTATAAATAACCATTGTTAAGAAAATTAAGAAAATTAAGAAAAATAGTATAATAAAAAAAAAAAATTTTTTTTTTCCTGATTCGATTTGATAATGCAAAAAAAAATTTTTTTTTTTTTTATATTATTCATTCTATATTATTCGATTATAAATATTATACATGATTATTTATATACATTATATTGTATTTTGAATTACACATATAAATAAAATTATATAAGAGGAGGACACAATCATCATTACCTTTTTAAAAAATCATTAAAAATAAAAAAATCTTTTTTGAATTGAACCGATAAAACCCCTTTGCTCTCAAATAAAATTAATATTCATTCACCTTTTTCAGCCCATATTCATACATTATCGATACAATTGCTGATATCAAACAGATTTTTTTTTTTTATATAAATCAACCGAGTTTTTTCTCAAATCGAAAAGAACAAAAAAAAAATAAAAATAAAAATAAAAAATAAAGAAATCATAATAATCATTTTCTTTGCAACCTTCCTCAATCAATCAATCCTTCTTTCATACCTCAAATAATAATAATAAAGATGTCTCAACAAAAACAAAGTGGGGTTACGACCACAAAGGAAAGTTCCATAATAACGATGACAGCAAACAAGATATTTGAGAATTTAATCGAGAACATCGTATTGTTTTTTATGGCGGTGTTCGTTTCACTTTGCGGGTTGAACGGTCTCTCTTCCTCCAACAGCTCAAACTCTAAAGTGGACGGTAGAACTCCTTCCGGAACGTCTTCGGGAATGCAAATCCATCATTTGATTTTCCTTCCCCAACAACGCAAATCTCTCTTTTATAACATCGTTAAAAATCATTCGTCAAAGCAAGATCCCAGCCAATCACTTGGTATAAGTAACCGTAAACAACAAACACATCATAAGCATCACAGAAAAGTCTCTTCTATCAACTACTAAATATTTTTGAACGTGGAAGGTTTCGAATTGTAATTTTTAATCGCTATCCTTATCCTTATTTTTTTTTTCTTTTGTACAGATGATCATAATATTGTAGATACATAATTAGGGGTTCTCTTGTTTTTTTCGTTATTTTTTATTTTTTTTTTTTGATTTTGATGGACATTTTTCTTTTTTAATCTTTCAATTTTACGCATTAATTTAGCATTCAAATATAACAAATCGCATTGTACAGTTTTACATTTTAGTTGATTTATTTTGTTTAGTCATTATGATAATTTATTCTTTCTTCTTTTTTTTATATAATAATTTAAAAAAAAAAATCTAAATAATAAATAATAATACTTCCTCTCTCTTCTTTAATATTTTAATTAATCATGATCCATGTTTTTTTTTTTAATGTGTTTATGAAAAAAGTACTGTAAAATGTAAAGACAAAAATTCGCAAAAGTTATTCTAAATGAATTTCGCTAATTTGTTTGAACTATCCTTTTCTTTTTTTTTAAAAAAAAAAAAAAATTCAAGAATTTAAAGTTTTTTTTTTTTTTATTTGGCAAGATCTAAATTTACTACATAATTATGTAATACATATTGTGAAATTTGGGATGATTGAGTATCCAAATGGCAAAAGATGTTCATTTGATAACCTAAACTTGATTTGGCTATTAATACTACGGATAATAACTTTATAGAAATCTTTTATTTTGTTAAAGTTAACCATTAAAGGCAACCTCGCCTAAAAAGTCCTCTTTGAAAAAAAAAACCAAAAAAATCAAAAAAACAAAAGGTTAAGAAACAATCTTTAAATTAGAACTAAACTATATAAAACCTTATTTTAATGAATCAATCTAAATTAATCACTATTCTTTACCTTGATCTGTCGAATCCAATTATCACTTCAATACGTTACAATGATAACCATTATATGTCTCACATAATACTAATGTTCAACCTAAACGGTTTTGTTCCGATGATTCCTTGAATGATTTCTTGATTGAGGTTTCACAACCTTTCAATGATATGTGAACGCGTTTTACGCGTAATTATTACTTCTAAAAACTGATTGTAATCAGGTTATTCATTCAGGTTATTAAGGTTTCAATATTAAAATTATTACAGGATTATAAACATGTTTGATTGCATTCGGATGTTTACACAAAACTTGATCCAAAATTGAACCTAATTTTACCCCACCTTTTTTGTCAGTAAAATAAAAAATTTGGGTTAGATTTTTTTTTAAAACAAAAAAAAAACATCACTCCGAGATATCCGCAGTATAGATTAAATAGTGATCGTTCTGTCCTGTCACGGTTCAACTCTTCATTCAACAGGTAGTAAACAAATAATCATAATCATGATAACGTCGTTCGCTTGTTTTCAAATTAAAAAATTCTCTTTTTTTTTTTTTTTTTTTTTTTTTTTTTTTTTACAAAAATATTTTATTCTATTTTAGTTATTTATTTCTTTTATTTTATTTTTTTAATTTAAACAAATTTAACAAATTTACGGTTTCCGATTTCCCACACCCATTCATTCATAACCGGTTAACTGTTTAATAGGAATTTCCCGCCTTTACATCATGACATGATTACTAAACCCCGCAAATGAAGTGACAATAAATTTTTCCAAGAAAACTATTTTTTTTTTTTTTAAAAAAAAAGGAAAAGTTAGACATGAAATAAAAAGAAAGATAGAAACAATAAATGAATAAGTTAATAAAAAAAACGGAAGAGAGAAAGAAAAAAAAATTTAAAAAATGATACCTTTTTTTTTTTAAAAAAAAAAAATAGTGTAAATATTATCTCATTTCAATCCATCGGAAATGAAAAAACGATTTGGATTAATCGAAACCTAATCGTGATATTTACTCTTTATAATAATAAAAGAAAAAAAGAAATTCACACTTTAAACGGTTCTTTTTGATCTTTAAACATGTGCTGTTTTATGATCTTGTTTACGTTCGAACGGACTGCACAAACCACCAGACTCGTCGTCTTACAAACATGCTGTGTACGAGAAATAAATGTACCGGACGCCACTATTTGATTTAATGGAAATACCTTGGCGTTTTTTTGGTATGAAATAAAATGACACGATATCCTTGAACTTTGATTGGGTGGCCAAAAAACGTCGTTCAATACTTTATCTTACAAAAAAAAAACCGATAATAAATCGTACCTATCAAATAAATAAGTGTGTTTTGTTTTCTCATACAATATCAAAAGTGTGACACACCTTTATTAAAATTACCTTTAGAACACATGTAAAACGTCCATTCAGAGTTTATATGTAAATTATTTCCCTATGAGAGTAGCTCAATCATCATCTGCACAAGTTGTGTAGTGTTGAACAATCTTTATATCTAAGCGCGCTAAAAAATAAAAAGCATTTTAAAATTGTGATAAGAGGAAAAAAAAAAAAAAAAGAGATAATAATGATTTTATGTCGTGTTAACTTTATAAATAATGACAAAAGGTTTCGTGCATAGGATTCGTTCAATCCGTTCAAAGATTAGTTTTCTTTATATTTTTATATATATATATTTTTTTTTTAAAAAAAAAAAAAGGTAATAAATCAAGAAAAATGTTTATGTAAAAAAGTTCCTCGAGACGTTTTTGCTGCGCAACAATTTTGCGCAGTAGAAGAAAATATGTCACCCCTAAAAATTTATTCTTGAAACAAATTCATGGTAAGAATGACATGACCAAGATCTGTGCATGTATGAATTTGTCAGTGATTGCACGGAATGTACGCTCCGATTAGACTTTCCGTCTGTCAATGAAAGCTTATAAGGTATATTACTAAATAATAAATACTGCTCATTTAATTGATTTTTGAAGTTACCCCGGATTCATAAATGTCTTTGTGATCGCGTCGGCCTCAACCAAAACAGGTACTTAATACATGATCATGCATCGATTACGCGGAAACAACGATTCTTGGAATTCGGATTTTGTTTCAGCTCATGATCACAATTTTCAGGCAATCATTTAAAAGATGATAGAGGGAATAATAGGTGGAAGAAAAAGCATTGACACAGATTATAAGTTTGACCCTAGAGCATAATCCAAAACGTTTTTTTTTATCTCATGATCATCTGCATGCCTTTTTTTTCATGTAAAAAAAGATACTTTAAATGACTTTATTCATTCAAATGAAATTCTCAAATCATAATGAATTTTTTAGTACTACATCTCTAGTTAATGTATACGATATGTGTACGAGAAATTACTGACAAAGAGATCAAATTTTCATTGAAAGGGTTCTATCTGATGACAAAAATAATTGAATTTTGTGTACCGAGTGACCTTGGGGAAAGAGGATTCATGTAATGTATGTCGTGTATCAATTATGGTGAAAATTTTCTCATCACACATTAGATTCCACATGATACTAAGGAAATAAAGAAACTTGGATTTATATGACACATTGCATAAAGTGATTGTTTAAATTCAAATGGTCCAGTGGTTTTTTGAAAATATAAGTTCATGTCAAAAAAGCGCGCTATTTTTTTTTTTTTTTTTTACGCCAAAATTTTTTAATGCTTTTTTTTTTGCTATTTTTGCTACATTACTGACGTGATAGGCGCATCATTTTTATTAAAATTATTCTGGTTTTTAAACAAGATTAGTTCATGGGTTAGACCTATTATGGTTTAGCTTGTTCCTAAGGATCTAAGCCCGACTCAATAAAATTACACGCAAAGGTTATAAGTGACTTTCTGATAATTACGATTTGGCTTCCCAATTCTAGATATGGTTTAAGGGGAAAACTTATTATACTAAAGTTTAGGTCATATGAATTACTTTTCCAAGTCACACTTGCATAATTCATTGTTGTCGACGGCATAAAATGAATTCGTTTGCTTCGTTTGTTTTTAATTGATGGATCTTTTACTCAGGTACGACCCGGTGCATTTATTAGGAATATACTTTCATTGTAGAATCTCAACTAATGAATCATGCATACGAATGTGCATTTATTTTGGGGCAAATTTCTTTCCATGTATGTAAACATTTTATGGGCATTTTGATCTGTTCGTTTTGAGCAAGGCAAGTGATAAATGCATGTTTTAACATGCAATTACGCGTGATATTTCCAAAACAAACACTATCATGCGAATATTTCATTATTCATGTCCTAACTTTCGGTTTCGACTAATAGCCTTGCCATCGCACCTTTGATAATTTTATATTAATGATTTAATTTGGATTCGACGGAAAGACCTTGAAATCAGGCGCAACTTTCGTCTCTTTCCTGCTTTTTTTATTCATACATAAAAAAAGCGGGCTGGTTCAAAAGAATATTTTTAGCTAATATATTATTTATAACTTAAATTACAAAAGGATTAATAGAAAGCGAACTCACCACGAAAATAAATTTTTTTTTTTTTTTGATTTGTCGTAACCTAATCCCTTAGGCGCATTTGGTCGGTAGTAAGAAATTAAATTTTGTCATAGACGGTATTTGATTGAAGGTCATTAATACGCGTTTAAAAGCTAGGTTAATATCCTTGTTTAAAATCTGTGTTTTTATTTATGCAGAGAACTCGGCTTCTATCTGTTCTCGAGGAAATTATGTTTTATGTTTTAAGAAACATTGGGGATAATTGTATTTTTGAAGCTTTCAAGAATGCGATACATTCATAGTCTTGTACAACACATCCTTGCCTCTTCCACTTGCTTGTTTCCGTAGAATATGCAATTCATATTGAAATGTTCAATTTTCAATGAACCAGAAATTATCCACCATTACGAATTACACAACATTATTGTCAATCAACAAAATATTCAAATTGATAATAATAGTTCAAAATCCATTAACGTCAAAATCATCGAGGAAGCGGTAGTCCAACATTTTTTTTCGTCGTCGGATTTGAACTGAACTTAGATATTCCTTATCGCGTTGGTAAGCTTGTTATTTGAGTTGCATTGCAACAGAGCTCCATTAAGAAGTTAGGTAAAAGTCACCATCAGGTTAGTTACTATAATAAAACTATC